TCTCTCTCTCTCTCTCTCTCTCTCTCTCTCTCTCTCTCTCTCTCTCTCTCTCCCCTCCTACCTTCTAAGTCTACTTGTTGCATACTCGTGAAACACAGTCATAAGTATGGCACAGATTCCCAGAACCGACCAGATAATACAGAGTTAATACATATGCAAGCGGAAGACATGAGATACCCATGCACTGACTCTGACCTGACTCGGACTGCAATCGAACACTCTCAATCATGCATCAGTGGTGTGAAAGCCCTGGCCTTGGACATAGAAGAAAGGCCAGGGTCTGAGTTCATGCATGGACGAATGGAGGGAGAGGAGAGACGAAGGGAGGAGGAGAGGGAAGATGACGTCAACTCAATATTTCCAAAGATAGTATCTTGAAATGTCAAGAGTAGCGCGAATCCGAAATGTCGCGAACACAGAGTCTCACAGTGTCTCAGATATCGATCTCACAATGTCAAGTACATCTTCAGAAGGAAGATGAAATCAGATCCCAAGTAGTCCTCAACTCGTAGTCCCAATGTCGCTGTCTCAGATGTCATCAGAATTCGTTACCATCTCCCATACCTCAAAGTAGTTCCGTAGAAGAAGTAGAAGTAGACTTAGACTTGAGAAGGTAGGAGGAGAGAGAGAGAGAGAGAAAGGAGAGAGGAGCGATGGAGGAGGAGAGGGAGAGAAGGCGAAGCCTTCCTCCCTGATACCTGGTACTGTCGCTATGGCGCTGCAAGGGGCTGGGCCGGTAACTGGCGCTGTGCCCAAGCGCTGCGCTAATCCGCTCACCACTGGACTCTTCGCTCTCGCTGCTCCATGCTGTGCTGCAGCGCTGCGCTAAGTGAGCTAACGCTGAAGCTGATGCGCTAATCCTGAAGACTAACCTCTAGCCTTACTAACCTCCCCACTGAGGCTGGTACCCAGCCTTTTGTAGTGCTGGGCCGGCCTCCTACCCACTGGTACCTACCGGCCTGGACCGTTGAACTAGATCAACGGTCCAGTTTTAAAAGTGGTTGGCGCCCAAATTGTGGCAGCCTCTGAAACGCTGTCAGTGGGTCCTAGGCTGGACCGGTACCGGCCTTGAGGCCGTTTGGCCTGGGCCTGCCTGCACCGCCGTGGTCCAGGCCCATCTGGGCCTCATCTGAACCGTCGTCCCTTAGGCCTACCCTGCCTGTCTGGAACCGGGCCCTAACTGGGGCCCGTGTGGCTCAGAATGCCACACTACTCCTGGGTTCTCCTACTGGACTACTACGGGTACGAAGGATGGTTACGAGTTCTGATGATATTGGAGACAGCGACAGCGAGACTGTAGGTTGAGGAGTACTCTTGGGATCTGATTTCATCTACCTCTGAAGATGTACCTTGACATTACGAGATCGATATCTGAGACACTGTGAGACTCTGTGTTCGCGACATTTCGGATCCGTGCTACTCTTGGCATTTCAAGATACTATCTTTGGAAATATTGAGTTGACGTCATCTTCCCTCTCCTCCTCCCTTCGTCTCTCCTCTCCCTCCATTCGTCCGTGCATGATCTCGGACCCTGGCCTATCTTCTATGTCCAAGGCCAGGGCTTTCACACCACTGATGCATGATTGAGAGTGTTAGATTGCAGTCCGAGTCAGGTCAGAGTCAGTCCATGGGTATCAGCTCTTCCGCTGTATTTGTATAAACTCTGTATTATCTGGTCGGTTCTGGGAATCTGCGCCATACTTATGACTGTGTTTCACGAGCATGCAACACATCTGTGAGTTGGGGATCGAGGTTGTGAGTGATACGAGAGACATACCTGGTGCTTGAGGCAAACAGCATTGGCCGAGATCTGCTCGTACTTCGGGGAGCTGTTGACGTCATCAGCGGCAATGTAGATAGGCTAGATAGGATCTGCCATTTGTAGTCTGGGCGCGGAGCCCCAGATAGGATATCCACATTGGTTCTTCCTTGATGATGATGAGACTATTCCAGCATTGTCAATTACGAGTTTTTGCTGTACTCTTATTTGGTGGAACTAGTGATGCAATTCTGCTATTGGTTCGGGGTCACGACTATCTGGTCTCATGTGTATGATGCTGTTTGATTTCTGAAGTTCGCTATCCCTCATTATCCTTGCATTTGAATTTCGAGGGAGAAATGCCGAGAAAGAATAATAAATTCTAAGTATTTTCAATTTTTTTTCGAAAAACAATTACTGAAATTCAAAATTTGAAAAAGAAATGTGGAGAAAAATAAAATTTAATAAATAAATAAATAAAATTTTGAATTACGAAAAGGAAAGGAGTTTAATTAATTCTAAAACATTTTCCAGTTACAAAAATTCATGGTTGCCCCGGACCCGGACATCCAGACACCGGGCACCTGGTCCGGACCTGTGTCTGGTTGCAACCGGACGTTCGGTGATCCGGACAACCGGACACCGGACACCGGGCTGTCCGGTTGGAGAGGTTCCGGTCCAGATATCCGGATTAAAAAAAAAAAAAAAAAAAAAAAAAAAAAAAAAAAAA